CTGCCGGCGCCGACAGCGCCCCTTCCGCCCCGGCGGCGAGCCAGACACCCGGACTCGTGGACCCGAGAAGGGGGGCGACGGCCCCGCCCGCGTTGGGCGGAGATTGAGGGGCTCAGGACAGAGCCCCGCTGGCAACCCCACCTCTCGAGCCTCTGCGGGCGCTGGCCTAAGGAGGAGGCGGCATTGCTTAACAGGGCTCCCCCAAATCTCTGAGACCAGGGGTGGTACCCAGCCTCCCTCATTCCAATCCCTCCGGGATTCTGCGCCTCGGGGGCCCAGTGCCTGGGGCAGAGATGCAAGGGACACGGGCCTTGTTCCTCCGGGGCGGTCCACACGCCAGAGCACCCCAGGAGGGAGGAAGCCCCCTCCCACCACCCAAATAGCCATAGGCCTCCACCAGAACCCCAGAGTAAAAGCCGAGGGACCCCTCCGAGGGACCGCCACAGGGACTGGGACCCGCCAGCTGCTCTGGCCTGGAGGACCCTGGGCCTCAATTTCTTCAGTTTGGGGATGCACCCTCGAGTGGCCTCACCCCAGCGTCCACTTGGACCCACCCTGCGGTCCCACTGTATGAGGCCCCCCCGCCTGGAGCAGGCAGCTGCCCTGCCCGCCCAGGGCCTCCCAGCATGATTCCAGGGGGCGGAGTGGGGAGCTGGAGGTGCCCCTAAAGAGCCTACTAGACCCACGGGGAAGGTCCGAGAATTGAGTGGTGGCGGGCGCTGCCATGGGCCTGGCAGGCAAGAGGCAGGGTTGGCAGGACAGGACCCCACTGGGCACCGAGGCTGGGCCCCCTCGCCGCTGGCATGCCTGTCACCTCCGCCTCCTCCAACTCCGTCCAGCAGTAGCCGGGGGACACTGTCACCCCCACCACACCAGGGGCTTATTAGAAACAACTTACCTGTGCCCATCGCTCTGCCCCTGCCCAGGCCTGGCCCTGCCCTCGGGTCCAGGCCACGCTGGGCCTCCCACCCGTGCCTGCCCCCCTGGCAGATGCTGGGGGCTGCTCTGCCCCAGGGCCCTGAGCAGGCCCACCCCCAGGGGAGCCTCCAGTGGAGCCGCGGGCTCAGAGGGCTGATTAAACCATCATGGGGATCTTCTCGACATTTAATTTACCAGGCGCGCGGCGGTCAGCCCCGTCCCCAGGGAAATGCAAGGCAGGCCGGGGGAGCAAAGCAGAGCCGCCGCGGGCTTGTGGCTGGCTCCCCGCCGCTGCGAGCCAGGCTGCAGGCGCGTCCACTGTCCCCCCACCCCCGCCCGCTGGGCACCGGGAGGCTGCCCCCCACACGCCCAGGTCCCAGCCGGGTCCGTGAGGAGCCCCCAGCACATACCTCCCAGTGGGGTGCCTCGACACCCCTCAGCTTCCCTCAGGACAGCGGCGAGCGGGTCGGTACTGGACTCCCAAGAGGGGCTCCGGGCGCCTTCTGTGCATCTGTGCTGGGCGGCGGAGAGAGGCCCACTGGCCGCTGTCCCTCACAGATTCTGCCACAGCTGGCTGACTTCAGAGAGTCCTGTGAGGTCCATGCCAGGGCCACCACCCGTTCCTGGGGTGGTCAGGGCGAGAAAGACACCTCTCCCATCCAGGCGCTGTGGGACCCCCCTGCCCCCCCCAGCCTGGTCAGCTCTCATGTGCCCTCTGGGAAACTGGGGTCCTGTCTAAGGTGGGGGGGAGGGTGCTTCAGGAGCCACAGAGGCGTCCACTGGGACACCCTCTGTCCAGCACAGGCCTTCCTGGCCCGCTGAGCCCATCCCCCACCATGCAGCAGGCAGGCTCTGGGGCTGAGAGCAGGGAGGGGCTGCTGGCCCCAGCAGACACTGGCACTCACCGGGGCCTAGCCATTCCACCCTGGACGGTCTGTCCTCGTGTCACCTTGAGCACTGCCTGGTCCCCACTGCGGGCGAGGATACAGGCTCAGGTCCCAGGCTGTCTGGGCCAAGAGTCTGTGCCAGTGCCCCTGTGTCCTCGCCTGGCCTTGGGAGCACGGCTGTGACTAGGAGGACGGGACAGCCCTGGGAGCACAGGTCTGGGGACAGATGTGGGGGGGAGGTGGAACCCCAGCAGGGGCTGGAAGGCGCCTGCCAAGTAGCGAGAGAGACCAGGGACCTCCCTGATCACCGGACCAGCCTCAGCTCCTCGGGCCCACCAGACGTCCTTCCCAGCAGGCCTGAGCGAGCGCGCGGCGGCCTGGGTTTCAGCACCTTGGCCAGCGCCAGAGGCCGGTCTGTGCGCCAAGGGGTGGAGGGGCCTTGTGGCTGCAGGGTTCTCTCGCGCCTGCTCCCCACCCACTCTGGCAGTCACCTGGCTCTGCCCCCGCTGCCCGAGTCCTGTCATCCTGCCCACTCCCTCCGCAGCTGTCCAGACGGGGGACTCCACAGCCCCGGCAACACGCCCCGTCTGGCCCCCGCTGCTGCGGCGCTGGTCCTGGAGCAGCAGCGGGGCTGGCCTGGCACAGCTGTCCCAACAGGACTGCTCCAAGCTCGCCCCCGCTCCCGCTCAGCCCCCCAGGCTTGCACCTGCAGCAGCGCCTCCCGCCAGCTCCTGCCGCGCCCCTGGGGTCTCTCCCCAGACACCCACACATCTCCCAGTCTCCCCTGGGCTTGCCTGGAAGCTCACCCCAGCAAAATCTTCCCTCCCCTGCTCCAAGACGCCCACCCCCAGCCCCAGCTCGCCCTCAGTGTTTCAGGGTGCCCAGGGGCCGTGCCACAGTGCCCCCCTTGCGGCTGTCACCCTCCCCGCAAGATGTCACCGAGCGCCCCCCGTGCTGGCCCAACTGGACAGGGTGGCGCCCTCAGAGCAGGAGGCAGGCCCGGGCGAGCCTGGCGCACTGGCCGCAGCTCACGCGGGGCCCTGCCCTGCCGCCCATGCTGGCCCAGGCGTCCAGCCCATGCTGCTCCTGGCCCACGCTGGCCCCTCCAGCCTCACCCCCACCCAGAACAGGCTGCTGGGGCGCCCCGCCCACGCCAAACCAACACCAGCCCAGGGTGACCCGCGGGTGCGCTGACCCCGAGCCTTGGTGCCTGAGCGCCCCGGGGCCTGGCCCCCAGGGGGACACTCCGCCTCCCCTCCTCTTGCCTGGTCCTGGGCAGTCCCTCCGCGGCGCCCACCACAACCCCTTACCCCTGCAGGCCCCCGATCTCCTCCCTCGATCCCCCTCAGGGCTGAGCAAGTCCCACTCAGGCCGACGACTCAGGTGCTGGTGCAAGCAGGCCCGGCCTGAGAGCCCCTTCCCGGGGCCGGGCCAGGCTCCCGTGCACGCCCAGCGCCCAGCACAGGCCAGGCACCGGGACATAGTGTCCAAGGACGACAGGCAGCCAGCAAGGA